TTTTAGATTATAGAAATATAGTTTCTATAATCCTTCTAATTGGTCATAAGACTGTAGTTGATATTTATAACTCTCTTCCTCCACTACGCATTTCATGTTTTCCTTATGCTCAATCAGGACTTCAACTGGTTGAGATTCTTCACCTGATAGGGGATGATTTAAAACTTCATTTCTGAAAGGAAAATCTATAATGGTCCTTTTTCAGGTTGTCAGTAGATGGGTTACGCTAGTACACTCAAATATAGTATATATTGAATTCAAAATGCAGAAAAGCCCACCAAGAGTTGTGCTTTTCCTAGCTGAAAATAGGTCAAGGGACAACAGGTTTTCTTTCACTTTAGAAAGGAGATCTCAACATGTTCTAGACAATTTGACTCCAAGAAGTTTCACTGAGGTGGTGACCTCCTTAATTTTTGTGGGGTTTATTTCCAACCCGGGAGTTTCACATGTGTTTACTAAGACATCTAAAGTACTTGCTACTTCCTGCTCCTCAGAAACAATTAGCACGATGTCATCACTATAGTGGACTGATATGATGTGTGGAATGTCAAGATGGTTAAGATCTCTGCTGAGTATATTATGACAGAAAGCAGGAGAGTTGACACAGCCCTGAGGCAATATTTGTAAGGTTACTGTTAGTCATACCAGTTAAAAGCAAACTACTTCTGATTGTCCTAGCAAACTGATATGGAGAAAAAGACATCTGCATGTCAAAAACTGCATACTTCCAGTTGCCAGGGGCTATGTTGATTTGTTCCATGAAAGACACTCCATCTGGAACATCAGCTCCAATTGGGACCATTACCTAAATTAGTTTAAAATAATGTAGATAATTACTCTTATATTCTGATTTGTCTGCTTTTTCCATAGGACAAACAAGAGAGTAAGTGGGGAGATGCTAGGTATCACCACTGGGCTTTATTCAAGTCTCTGAAAATGGCACTCATCTTCACAGTTCCTCCAGGGATCTGGTATCATTTTTGATTTACTACCCTTGTAAGGAGGGGAATGTCCAGTGGCTTCTACTTGGTTCTTCCTACCATTTGAGCTTTATTCCTCAAGCCAGAGTGCTAAATGTGGGGATTCTGCCAATTGTCAAGAAGATTATCCCAGTTATAGATTCACAAATTGAGGAATTGATCTCTGGACCTACTGGGTCCACTGTGATTAAAATGAGTGGTAAGACTCCAACTATCATCTGGCCACCATCAGCCACCACTTTCACTGATGGACTGGAGTGACATTTTGGGTCTTCAGGAATTAGTGTCAACATAGTGTCTGGTAATCCCCTGAGTAGGCAGAATTTGGGGCCCTATGACCTCTGAGCCCTGGTGTCATACCCATCAATATGTTACAGGACAAAAGGGACTTTGCTCTTGTAATTAAGGTTACTAATAAGTTGACTTTAAAATAAAGAGTTTATCCTGGACTATCCAGGTAGACTGAGAGACAGTAACTTAACTGACACAAAGAGGAACTTATTCTGACTTCCACAGCTTCCAAATAGCCATTTTTAAATCTTCTGAACCTCCTTACACCTCCTTCAAGTCTAGTTACTTAATTTCATTCTCTGTGAGTTTTGGAGTCAGACAGATTTGGGTTCAGATTTTAGTGGTTTGTTTGTTTACTTACTTACAAGAATATGTGATTTAAGCAAGCTACTTAGCTTCATTTAGACTTACTTTCCTCACCTACAAGCCAGGATAACAATATCTATTTTAAGGATTGATGTAAGTGTTAAATGAAATAAAGTGTGCAGAAAGTGTAATTAGCCCATAGGTCACAGTGGTTCTCCACTCTCTCCTTCATGCCTGTCTTCCCTATCATTTCCCCCCTTTTCTGCCTCTTGTCCCTAGTCTTTTTCATTGTTTCTTCTGTCTTTTCTCTATTTTGTGCTTTTCCTTTTCATTCTTTTCTCCATCATTTACTACCTTAATCCCCCCACCTGATTTTCTTCTCTCCCTTTTGTTATCCATATGCCCATATTATGGTCAATGAACCTCAATTAAAAATTCTCTCTTTTCCTTTAGAATTTGTGATTGATGTGCTTTTCCTATCACTTAACTGTTTTATGCATCTCAAGTCCTCATAGGTGTCATATATAGGAAGTTTCCATTTTGAGAGCTTACTGCAGTCTATTGCATAGTGTATTGGTTAGAAATGTTCTAGGTTTCCAGTTTTGGAAAAACCAACAGATACTGGCTTGATCAAAGGACTTTTCTCACAGGTAGGCAACTGCTAGCAATGGTGCAGAGGCTCAGCTATGTCAGGACCAGTGTCCCTTCCGTTCTCTTGGGATTTTGTAGTTCCAGGAGTCATATCTGTGTTTAAAGTGAAAAGAATAGTCTGGGTGAAGAGAAAGGAGAAGCACCAGCAGTATATGTCCCTTTTATCAATAAAAGGAAGGTTTCTTAAAAGCCCATAACTGACTTCTGTTTAGATTTCACAGGCCAGTCCTGTGTCTATTTCTATAACTTTATTTTTTTTAAATCTATAAGCTTGTTATTTTAATGCTGGACTACAGGCATCTGCGGGGCATAGTCGGCAGAACATTTTGGCAACATTTTAATGTTTCTATGGTTTTGTCTTTTTCAGAATGTTCTATAGTTGGAATGATATAGCATGTAGCCTTTTTAGATTGGCTTATTTCATTTAGTAATATGCATTTAATATTCTTCCATGTCTTTTTGTGGCTTGATAAATCATTTCTTTTTATCACAGAATGGTATTCCATTGCATAGATGTAATACAGTTTGTTTTTCCATTCACCTATTGAAGGACATCTTTGTTGCTTCCAATTCTTGGCAATTATGAATTAAGCTGCTATAAACATTCATGTGTAGGTTTTTGTGTTTTGTGTGGACATAGTTTTCAGCTTATTTGGATAAATACATAGGAGCACAATTGCTGGATTGTATGATAAGCCTGTGTTTAGCTTGATAAGAAACAGCCCAACAGTCTTCCAAAGTGGCTGTGCCATTGTGCATTCCTACCAGCAGTGAGAGAGAATTCTTGTTGTTCCAGCAGCATTTCACCAGCATTTGGTGTTGTCATTGCTTTGGATTTTAGCCACTCTAATGGTGTGCAGCTTGAACTCTTTTTCACTCTTTTCCTGCCATTTAGAATGATCTTCAGGACCCCAAAGATTGCTTCCCTTCTGAAGCCTTTCCAAATGCTGCTCCTGACATAACCCCTGCTGGTCCCAAAGTGATCTTTTCCTTTTTGAAATCCCGTTTCTGGCCCTTCCATCTTCTTTTTTGCAGTCTACATAACCAAGATATTACTTTCCACAGCAGTGGCTATCCAGAGCCTCTCCACAATTTCTGAGTGTTCCTGAGGCATTACTTTCTTGTAGTTTCCCCTGCTCTGTCTGGGTCCTGGGTTGTCTCTAACTCCCTTTGAATCAACCCAGACATGAAACTCAGCTCTTTCACTGGTATTCGCAGGAAAGTTGACCTACCCTAAGGATTGTGTGAGTTTGTAACTTAACGGGGTTGAATCATAGAGTAATATTCATGACCTCCTGACTGGGTCTCTCCTCTCTTCTTTCTTCTTCTCACTCCCTTTCTGGAGTAAAAAAAAAAAAAATCCTCCTCTCTGCCTCATGTGTAATTATATTATCTTACATCCTTCTCTTAGGCTTTTATGTTTGCTAACATGCATGTCACATGTGATGCACCTATTATAAGTTGGACCATCAAGGCTTATTGGCCACAGAAGCATCTCCCTAAAGGAGAGGGAGATTTTTTTCTACCAACTATTAAGAGAATACAGTTTATCTTGTTAAATTGTTTGTAGCTATTTTCACACATATACTTTTTCTAAGCTTGTCCATCTGGCAGCAGCTGGAGCCACAGTTCCCACTGGTGGAGCAGGTGGGAAATCCGCAGAAGCTAGTGGAGCAGCAGGCCATGGTCAGGTGCTGGGTTGAGAGTTGGGTTGCTTGTAGGTGTTCTGGTGGTAAAGTCTATGTCAGGCACACCTTTTATATATCTGAGCCAGCTTCTACTTATAAAATTCTTAACATATCTTCCTTGTTTTTGTTTAAATTTGTTCCTCATTGGTTCTCTGATTGGCTTACATTGAAATACTTATGACCCATTATAAGCAGCAGTTTAGAATAGCAAAGTCCTGGATAGCAAAGTCCTCAAAGATAAGAGTTAAGTCTTAATCTTTCTGATCTCCATAGTCCCTGCTTTAGACGTGGTGGTCAATAAATGTTTATAGAATGAATGAATGAATAAAAAAAAGAAAAAAAAAGAGTGAATGAATACACTATATATGATTTCAGTTTCTTTTAAAAAGAAATAAATGTATTTCTTTCAGGTAGGCATTCACAAATTATCACAGTTAATCCATTTTAGGTACAAGTAGAAACACAGACTATGGTTTGTTTGCCCAGTTATAGTATTTATTAAGAAATGACAGAAAATACTGTATCATAGCTGTAATTGAAATAACCAATAGACAAGATCATTATGATCCCACCCTGCAAAAAAAGGGATGGAATCAGTTGTTGAAAGTTGAAAAAGTCTAGCCTACTCCTTAGAAAGTGAATGTTGAGTGAAGAGTCCATTCTCTCTGGTGACAACTGAGGAGAGTCACTTGACTATACTCTGGTGCCTTTGATGTTAGAAAAAAATGTTAGGTAAACAGAGCTAAAAATAAATTATAAAGCAGGGAAGAATTAGATTTGTGGGTAGTTCTCAAGAATTAATTCCACAGTATATCAGTAATTTTCAATCCTGCAGAAAAATCAGAAATAGTATATCCAAAACATTTTGATAGTCAGCTGGTGTGTTCACAAGCATTTCTGTGTCGGCAGTGGACAGTCAGGGTATTCACTGCAGAATGAAATCAGATAAAACTCATATACTTGGTAGCCCCCATAACAAAAATGCGAATGGAAGTCTAAGAACTTGTGGTGGTCCAGGGGTGGTTGAGGAATTACGCTATTCAGATCTTGTGTCCTGGGCAACTGGAAATCAGCAGCCTGGCTTTCAGCAGGTGGGCTCACAACAGGTGGGCTGGCAGCAGTAGCAGCAGCAGGCTGGGCGGCAGCAGGACTGTCCACAGTAGGATGGGCGGCAGCAGGGGGCCTGGGCATGGTGCAGCTGGCAGCAGGTTGGGGGCGTACAGCTCACCACACAGCAGGGGGGCAGGCAGGTGTCCTCCACACGGCAGTCAGGGCGGCACCACCTGACTCGGCAGCTCACAGCTCCGCAGCCACCCTCCTGGCCACCACCAGTGCCACAGCTGGTCCCACCGCAGCTGGGCTGGCAGCAGGTTGGCTGGCAGCAGCTGGTCTGGCAGCTGGGCTGGCAGCAGCTGGTCTGGCAACCGCTGGGCTGGCAGCAGCTGGAGCCACAGTTCCCACTGGTGGAGCAGGTGGGAAATCCACAGAAGCTAGTGGAGCAGCAGGCCATGGTCAGGCGCTGGGTTGAGAGTTGGGTTGCTTGTAGGTGTTTTGGTGGTAAAATCTATGTCAGGCACGCCTTTTATATATCTGAGCCAGCTTCTACTTATAAAATTCTTAACATCCTTGTTTTTGTTTAAATTTGTTCCTCATTGGTTCTCTGATTGGCTTACATTGAAATACTTATGACCCATTATAAGCAGCAGTTTAGAAATTACTTTGTTTTATAGTTTCATTTGGACTCCTCATATTGGTCCTTTGCTCTTTGGAATACATTTGTGGTTTTCCATGTTCAAAGAGTCCTTCCATTTTAGTCCACGTCAACACCCTCATTTTGTAGAGGTGGTTATTTCACGTGACACTCTGTCCATATGTCTAAGGCTAAGGCTAATTGTGCTCTTAGGTTTAACTATTATTTTTTCCTTCTGTCTGTACAGACTGAATTCTGTTGAATTTAGGCCAGTGGAACATCCCCTGAATTGAAGAGTACCTTTGGTCATACGTAATTAAAAGCTTCCCACTAATTTACTCCAACATCAAATCAAATTACTATTATAGTTCCTTTGATTTCAATCAGTTTGAAATATGTAAATATTATTCATATTCTAGGTCAGAAATCTTTTCTTGTGAACAAGTGACAGTTTATATAAAGGTATCTTGCAGAGTGCTTAGCTTCAGGTAGAACTTTAATAAATGCTTACCAAATCTGATTTTGAATGGGTGGAGTAAAAGACATGATTCATGGACACATGTACCGCTTGTAAATGATTTAATAGAACTTTCAAGCTGTAGTGCCTCTCATGGAGGAGTCTTTGTTATTGTCCAAAGAGAGTAGGAAGTGATGAAATATTTCTCTACTGCTGGAATATTTGAACCAAGTCTCAGGGAAAAGCATCTGGGAGTTATGACATTTTGAAGAATGTACTGCCATCTACTACTATATTCTTTGAAATGCATTTGATCTAGCATTGTCAATTATGTTTGATCTGTCATTGCTACCAATTAAATGATAGAGGTAAGTGCTGGGAGCTTGTAAATAACTTGAACAATATTTTTCATAAAGTGTCCTATATTTTGTTCTATTGTATTTTATATATTGCACTAAAATACTTAATGTGGAATTAAAAAATTAAATGGCAAAAGTATTTTTTTTTTGTTCTAGATTTATGTTAACTTCCTAAGAGAACATCTTTCAAATTGGTTGCAAAGTGCAACATACATAGTTTGAGATTTCTAATGCATGTGTCTGACCAATGGTGATGGTAGAACTCACAGGGTATCTCCCTGGCTCTTTGTTCTACCCTCATTTAGACGAGAGATATATTTTATAAGAACTCAAGTAAATGGAGATGAGCGTTGGGAGTTGAAACTTGGAGAACAATTTGGGGATGAGTGTGAAGAATATAATAGGCTAAGACATAGGAATTAAACCTAAATGCTTTTGGAAAATAGTATCTAAAAGATAGTATCTGGTAGATGTTTTAAAATTTACTTAGTAAGTAATATAATCTTTAGATATTAGGCACACATGAAGGAGAACATCTAGTGTATAAACTGAAAGGAGATTAAAATAGTAGAGGTAGGTTAGAAATCCCATAGATTTGAGCAACCTGAAAATTTTAGCCAAAAGTTACTTTACTGGTTTAGACCTAATCATAATAGGTTAGAACATTTTAAGTATTTGAATAACAATGAAGATATTTAATGCATGGAGCATTTTATTAACTGATGGATTTAAGCATAATGTAATTAGTATTTAATCTTTCTGATTTAGACTTTATGTTTATGCTTTAGGATTATTATCAAAAGGCAAATCCACTCTTCTTGAATTCCAGCTAAAGATGGACAAGCTTAGAGGTAGAGGGAAGAAAATAACTCAGTTTGCTTTACACATTTAAACATTTTATTTGAAATTAAAGGGATATTCAAGGAGAAAGCAGGTCTGAAAATACATCGGGATCAGGAGATAGGGAGGAGACCAGAGATGTCACTGAATTGAAGAAATACCCTACGCTGGTGCCTTTTCCAGCAAGGCAGGATATCTAGATACTCTAATACATGCTTTTAGTGTGCTAATTCAACACATCCAAGAGGGTCCTAAGACCCATTATTTCTGAGTAGCTTAGAAACATCATAATACTTAGCATGGGAGTAAAATTGAACCCTTCTTCAGAGATCAGAGTGGATTGTTTAGTTTCCCCTTTCATTCTTAATTAATCAGCAGCCTGGCTTTCAGCAGGTGGGCTCACAACAGGTGGGCTGGCAGCAGTAGCAGCAGCAGGCTGGGCGGCAGCAGGACTGTCCACAGTAGGATGGGCGGCAGCAGGGGGCCTGGGCATGGTGCAGCTGGCAGCAGGTTGGGGGCGTGCAGCTCACCACACAGCAAGGGGGCAGGCAGGTGTCCTCCACGCGGCAGTCAGGGCGGCACCACCTGACTCGGCAGCTCACAGCTCCGCAGCCACCCTCCTGGCCACCACCAGTGCCACAGCTGGTCCCACCGCAGCTGGGCTGGCAGCAGGTTGGCTGGCAGCAGCTGGTCTGGCAGCTGGGCTGGCAGCAGCTGGTCTGGCAACCGCTGGGCTGGCAGCAGCTGGAGCCACAGTTCCCACTGGTGGAGCAGGTGGGAAATCCACAGAAGCTAGTGGAGCAGCAGGCCATGGTCAGGCGCTGGGTTGAGAGTTGGGTTGTTCAGAGAAGTTTTTGAGTTTTGGCTGCACCTTCTACATCTGGCCTTTTATATATTTCCTAGAGCTGCATATTTCCCTGACATTCAGTATTGTTCCTTGATACCATTTGCAAAGTAAGTCTCTGATTGGCCGATCCCTGAGTTGTTTAGAAAGTTATTAATAGCATTTCAACAGCCTACTTTGGTCATTATTCAGTTAAGTCTCATTATATTTCTTCTTTGCCCTCTGGATCATTATGGAATCCAATCAGTAACACCTCTTTATGCAAATCACATGACAGACTAGAGTTGGGCCAACCCTGGCTTGCTTTGTCATACCTTTGTTAACCTGTAGGCCAAGTTTATCTAAACTGAGCATTTTCTTCCTAAGTAGTCGCTAAATTAAGGATCAGGACTTCATAAATAGAATTTGTTAAGACTTGGAATGACTAACATTAGTGTCATCAAAACATGAGCTATCTAAATTAATCAACATCCAAAGCACTATGCCTTTCTAGAATCTGTTTGTGCAAGTTATAGGATACTAAGAGCTCTAACCAGTATTTTTGCCTTCAGCCATCAGTGTACATATTCCCAGTTGAAACCCTTAATGACTTTTGCTGGTAACTTGTTTTCTGACTCTACTAAATTAAAAATATATGCTAGTAATGAATACGTGTTTTAACAAGTCAAACAGTACACAGACATATAAAGAAATTTAGTATTTTTTCCTCTCTTCCCCAAAACACCCATCCCCTCTACAACTAGTACTTCAGAAATAATAAATATTAACAGTTTGGTGCATATTCTTTGACACCTTTCTCCCTGCTTTTACGGACATAAACCAGCATAGATAGATAGATAGATCATCTAAGTAAAAGTTGGTCTATATGTATTTTTAAAAAGTTTTAATTATACTAAAATACACATAATATGAAATTTACCATCTTAACCATTTAAGTGCACTGTTCACTAGTGTGAAGTACATTCACATTGGTGTGCAATCTTGAGAACTCTTTTTAACCTCCAAAACTGAAACTCTTTGTCCATTAAAGGACAACCTTTCCATTCTCTCCTCCCTAGGCCTTTGGTAACCACTTTTTCACTCTTTGTTTAGATGAATTTGACCAACCTAGGTGCCACATATAAGTGAAATTATCCAGTATGTCTTTTTAATGAATGGCTTATTTCACTTGGCATACTGTCCTCAAGATTCATCCATGTTATAGAATGTATGAGAATTTCCTTCCTTTTTAAGGCTGAATAATATTCCTTTGTTTGTATATACCACAATTTGTTTATCCATTGATGGACACTTGGGCTGCTTCCAACCTTTTGGCTATTGTGATTAATGCCCATACTACTCAAAGCAATTTACAGATTTTAAGTTTTCTGGGTAACAGCCATACTATTTCCCATAGTGGCTGCTCATTTCCATCAACAGTACACAAGTGTTCCAATTTCTCCACATCCTTGCCAGCACTTTTTGGGTTTTTTGAGATTAGACATTCTAGTGGGTATGAGGTTGTATGTCATTGTGGTTTTGATTTGCATTTTTGTAATGACTGATGATATGAAACATTTTTTAATATGCTTGTTGGCTGTTTATTTATCTTTTTTGGAGAAATGTCCATTCATGACCTTTGCCCAATTTTTAATTGTTGCGTTGTAGGAGTTCTTCATATATTCTAGATATTAGCTTCTTATCAGATATATGATTTACAAATCTTTCTCCCTTTCTGTAGATTGAATTTTCATTTTGTTCGTTGGTCCTTTGCAAAATTTTTAATTTTGATATAGTTCAATTTATGTGTTTTCTACTTTTGTTGTGTATGCTTTTGGTGTCATATCCAAGAAATCACTGCCAAATCCAATGTCATGAACATTTCCCCCTGTGTTTTCTTCTAAGAGTTTTACAGTTTTAGCTCCTAACTTTAGGTTTTTTATCCATCTTCAATTAATTTTTGTGTATGGTGTAATGTAAGGGTCCACCTTCATTCTTTTGCATGTGGATATCCGCTTTTCCCAGCACCATTTGTTGAAAAGACTGTGCTTCCCCATTGAATGGTTTTGACACTCTTGTTGAAAATTATTTGACTGTACATATAAAGGTTTCTTTCTGGGCTCTTTCTCCTATTTCATTTGTCTATATGACTGCCTTTATGCCAGTACCATGCTGTTTTGAATACTGTAGCTTTGTAATATAGTTTGAAGTCAGGAAGTATGATGCCTCCAGCTTTGTTCCTCTTTCTCAAGATTGATTTGGCTATTCAGAGTCTTTTGTGGTTCCATACAGGTTTTTGGATGTTTCTTTTTTCTATTTCTGTGAAAAATACCATTGAAAT